TGACAGTCTACAGCTGANATATACAAAAATCACATTTAAGATAATAAATGCATATCCTGTTGTTTTCTTACTTCAGAAGGTAATTTGATTTGAAGGATAGAATCCTGGAATGGCATTGCATTGATAAAATTTGCAAGTTATGTGAGTTGGAATTTCAGCTTCAAAATAATACGAGTATTGGGATAAAATAAGTCCAGGTATTGAATCTGAAATTTATGTTTATGACCTTATTGTACTGACCATAATGTAAAGGTGATTGTCCATCTGAGTCTTGTAAATTTTTATCAGCGTTATATTGCAATAATATTTCAACCATATCATATAAACCTCTATCGCAGGCCCAGTGTAACAAACTCATTCCCTAAAATATGACATTGGTATTTTTAATATCTAGTATTTATAAGTACACAAAAAGGTGTATAAATAATTATTGTTTGGATTAAAGTATTGAAACATTTGAAGGATCAGTTTTAGGACCCATAATATTCACTATGTATACCAAATCTTAAATAAAACAGCATAACCTACAGCACCATTTCTATGCCGATGATACCTAAGTAATTGACAGTTTTAGCCCGAATCCTACGAGTCAACAACTTACAATCTGTAATTTGGAGCGTTGTCTGAGTAACATTAAAAATTGGATGTCAGCCAATATGTTGAAGTTGAATGACGATAAAACCGAACTTCTTCTTGTGGGTCCTGCCCAGAAACTAGATGTCTGCAACTTAAAAACTCTCAGGATGGGTAGTTCAGATATTCCTGTATCTGAAAAACCTAGGTGTACTGATTGATTCAGGTCTCAGTTTCAATGACCACATCAATAACATTTGTAAGATTTGCCACTCCCATCTGCGAATGATCGGGTCTATTCGTCATCTCATAACAAAAGATGCTGCTGCTTGCTTAGCTCGATCATTTGTGCTATCCAGAATTGACTACTGCAATGCAGTACTTACTGGTATAACAAAAGACCAGATTTCTAAGCTACAGATGATCCAAAATCGGGCCGCCCGAATTGTTACTAAAACCAAATCAAGATCACACATTACTCCTGTTTTAAATGATCTACACTGGCTTCGTGTTCGTGAAAGGACCAATTTCAAAATTTTATCGCTGACGTATGAGACCGTCAACAAAACTTCCCCATGCTATCTTCAAAATCTACTGTCATTATACAAGCCTAAACGTTCATTAAGATCTGAAGGCAAAATGTTACTTGAGGTTCCTTCATACAACCTGAAAAAATTTGGCTCCAGAACATTTCAATATAGTGCATCAGTAATTTGGAATAAATAACCTAAATCGATTCGACAATGTGAATCTGTATCTGCATTTAAATGTAAAGTGAAAACTTGGTTGTTTAGTTATATCAATAACTCACCAATGGAGATCACTGGAATGCACCTCGTCATTATTTATTATTAATGTAATATGCAAGGCAATTAACTATTGATTTATTTAATCATCATAGAAACCACCAATTAATGTCATTGTATTGATACATACAGAATAAACAGCTATATTATCAATTCTGTTTTATCTATCCATGAATGAATGAATGATTTAATTACCTCTTCATCTAATTTATCTACATTAAGAGTGTTCTCATTTAAACAGGTTTTAACTTTATCGACATTACCATCTTTACACCAGTCAAATACAGTTTTATCACAATCATCAATATCATCATCCTCACACACCATTCTACTAACAGCAATACCTAACCCTGCAGTATCACCTCCACCATTTACATCCCTGGCCTAAAATCAGTGAGCAATATTAATATTAATATTAACATCACAATATTTATACTATCTCAGAAAGTGTATATATGCTTTGTTTTTAGCTTTTCATGAAAAACAGAGATGAATTCTTGAATAAGCTTACTAATACTTAAATCATGCCTACTTAATTGTTTGTTATCAGAGAATAAAGCATTGCTAATTACCGACCTCTTGATGTTGCCAGCCAGGTATTATTTTTGATAAATATTCAATGT